TGTGTGTGTGTGTCTGAGTGTGTCTCTGTGTGTGTCTAACATCCTATGATGTGGACGTTAGCGGACAGTTTTGGAGAGTCAGTTCTCTCCTTCTACCATGGGACCTGAGGATGGAATTTAGTTCATCGGGGCTTGTCAGCAAGCACCTCCCCGACTGAGGCAACTTGCCAGCCAAGTTTTCTTTTACTTTGCTTAATATGTTTTGTTTGTTTGTTGTATAGAAAACATTGCTTATTATTTATGCCATCAAATTTACCTTCCATCATTTTGTACTTGGAAGTCAGAATTATAACAAGACCCACTTCTTCCTGGTGTTAAAGGAAACTGCCTGCTTTTGTCTTCAGGTACCAGTGTGACAGGTTCCTTGAAGGTTTCTTTAATGGGTTAATAGTCTAGATGCAGGACTGGAGAGATGGCTCAGTGGTTAAGAGCACTGACTGCTTTTCCAGAGGTCCTGAGTTCAAATCCCAGCAACCACATGGTGGCTCACAACCATCTGTAATAAGATTGGATGCCCTCTTCTGGTGTGTCTGAAGACAGCTACAGTGTACTCATGTGCATAAAATAAATAAATAAATAAATATTTAAAAAAAAGATATGTGCAAGGCCTAAATGGTCAGGTTAAACGTTAAAAAAAAAAATAGTCTAGATGCCTGGCATAGCCAGGTGTGGTGGTACATGCCTTTAATCCCAGCACACGGGAGACAGAGGCATGTAAATGTCTGTGAGTTTGAGGGCAGCCTGTTCTCTACATAGTGAGATCCTGTCTCAAATAATAATAATAATAATAATAATAATAATAATAAAATAAAAATAATAGGCAAACATGAGCTAGCATAGTGATATACACTTTAATCCCAGCACAATAAGAGGCAGAAGTAGGTGGTTCTCTGTCTCCCCAGGGACCTCTTCTCAGACAAGGCTGCCAAGGGAGTTATCCTCTCAGCCACCCAGGCACCTGGAGTTTGTTACAATGTGGTCCAAGTAGACCTGGCTCCCGCTAGAGCTTCTGGCCAGTCTTGGAGTCAGCCAGGTGATGACAGTTGTGCAATACACAGAATGGGAGAGTGATGGGGTCACCAAGGCTTCCACACAGATTTCAACATCTGGGGGTGCAGGCAGGAGACAGTGTACGGCAGAATCTGAATCTTGTAGCCCCCTGGGAGGACAGTGGCAATGGAAGCGGTGCTGCTGTGACCCCAGGAAGTCAGAGAGGCCAGCAGTGGAATGTCTGCCAAGGAAAGCCACACCCTAGACCACTGCAGTGGGACTGCCCAAGCGCCACATCATAGCCCCACACGCCCACAGGTACAGGACCTGCTGTTTCCCCTGCTGGCATTGGATCTTGTTCTGCCCCCAGTCTCTGTTTTTATGTCTCCATTATCCTCTAAACGAGAACAATAACAACAACAACAAGAGAGAGAGAGAGAGAGAGAGAGAGAGAGAGAGAGAGAGAGAGAGA